AGGTACAAAGAAAACTGAAACTTGATTTTACTCAATAGGTATTAGTGCTTTTAATTCAATTGTGTCCTTCTGCTACATTAGTTATTATCGGAGTTTAAAAACAACTTAAAAATGTACTTATGAACATATTTTTGTAATTGTTACTGAATTGTGCAACATTGAAAGTAATTGTTTTTGAACCAGGTATAAAATGACTTAATATTGGGTTAGATATATTGGTTGACTTTGATTCAGGAACTCAAAAAGGGCCAACGCTGTGAGGATGATAGTGTGAACCTTTTCCTAAGGATACTGACTGTTCACCAACTAAATCACCTTTTACCTGATCTGCTGCTCCAGTGTTTTGGCTCAGAGACTTTGACAGCTGTGTTTTTTCCTCCTAGCCCTGCGATGCCTCCGAGGGTCCCGGCTGATTCCCTGAGAGACTCCCGCTCCCTCAGTTATTCTCCTCCGAGGCACATGAAAGCAGCGCAGCCCTCGCCCAGCCGCAGGTCTGTTAGCACTGTTAGACATTAAAAGAGCGAGACAACAGCTTTGAACTACCTGTACAAGCAGGGCTCTCAAGTCATGTCTGGAAGTTAGTTTAGCTTATTAACGTTAACTTATACAATTCAAATACACATGTGAAATAATCAATTTGTGATTGCTTTTAAAATGGAGGAATGGCTGGTTTATTCTGTATATGTAGCTTCTCCTTTACATACACGAACAACAGAAGATGGATGCTTTCATAAAAATAAATGTCTGTCTTGGATTGTTCCCATTCATCCCATGTTGAATAGAGCCAGTGCTGGTTAATAAAATGTGCTATACATTCATCAAAGATGTGCATTTAGCAGCAAACTAAATAGTTTCCACCAGTGAGGAAGAGAAGCTTGTGCACGCTGACGGTTATTTAACAAAGAACGTTTGCAGCTGCCGATAGTAAAAGACACTGCGCTAATGAAATTACAGTGAAGCACATAACGTTTTGCAGCAGGGTGTAATTATCCATGTGGCAAAGAACATTTTGTCTACACAGTAGGTACAACAATTAAAAGAGTAAAATAAAAAGGTTAGCAATTTGCTAATAGCACAGCAGCAACGAGACGCCATTTGCTTAGCAGCGCAGTTTACCCTCTGCATAGGACTGTGCAATAAATGAATATAGTACAGGGTTTGCCACACATAGACTTTACTTGGGCGGGCCTCCCAGGTATATTAACGTCCGCCAAAGTATATAGCGCGACCCATTTAGGTTAAATCTTTTGTTATCCGTCCGCGAGCACAGCGCCACCTGCGTTTGATTAACTACCCCTCCTGTACCTGTTAGCTCTGCTATCGCGTGAAGGGTCTGCTTTATGCGCTTCGCAGTAACTCCGCTGCGAGGCTCCGGCGAACAGTTCATGAGCGTGCTCCACTAGCTAGGGGTTTCACAACTACCAATATTTACTAGTCGACACGTTTTTCAAAATAGCAGTCGACTAGTCGTTACGTCATAATAAAGACACACAAAGAGAGGTGTACAACTGTATTTTATATCGGAACTCATACAGTTACATTAAACACTGCATTTTAATTTGTGTTACATGGCTGAGTAAATAACAAACAGTAACTGGACTTAGTAAATAACAAACAGTAACTGGACTCACCAAAATCGACAGCAAAAAACTCTGTTTACTGAAATGCCACGTAAATCCAGTGCGCAACAGCGCATTGCGCAACACGTTACTCGCTGTCCTCCACGATAACGTCCACCTTTCCAGATTGTTGGTTTGCGTTGAGGAACACCAACGCATCGACATGTGAGGGGAGGCTTGCCCGCTTTCGGGTGACAGTGTTGCCTGACAGGGAAAAAACCCTCTCACTCGGGGTGGCTGGAATAGCCAGGTAGCTCCTCGAAAGCTTGGCTAAACGGGGGACGCGGTGCACGTTTTCTGCCCACCACTCCAGTGGGTTATCCATTGTGGGGATATGCGGTGTCCGCTGGCAGTAAACCCTAGCTCGCATCACTGTAGACCCGTTTTTTCTTGCTGCTCGTCTGCCTCTGTCCTGTGCTGACGCCGGTCCGTTGCTCACTGGTGCTAGCATTACTGCTAGTGCTAGCTGTCGGCAGCGGGTGTCATCTTCAGATGGTTGCGCACATATTTGCCAACCCTCCCGATTTTCGCGGGAGACTCCCGATTTCATTGCCCTCTCCCGGTTTCCTCCTGGGGTCATATTTCTCCCGATTTCTGACAAAATCAGATTTACTCAGGACTGTTTAATACAGCTACACCATTGTTTGGTTTCCATGGTAGCGCGTCTCTTTAGCAGCGCGCGCAACTCAAAGTCTGAGAGGGTGTTGAAGATAGTCACAGAACAAGAATCGACAACTCCACCCTCTGCTCACTCCTTTCCTGTAAAATACAGGTCCAGCCCACACATATGCTCCATCAAGGATGGTGCTACAGGCCGCAAGGCAGTGCACTTACAACTACAATAAGCATGTTAATCTAATACAGCTCCGGCGATGATCCACTAGCACCCCCCCCCCCCCCGCGGTGGTTTTGAAATGGTTCCGATTTCTGAGGTCTCAAGGTTGGCAAGTATGGTTGCGCATAGCAGATGTATTTTTGTTGTACTTCAGTACAGCTGTACACAACTGACACTTCACTGTGGAGTTGGTTACATCTTTTTTGAAGTACTGCCATACATAACAATGTCGGACGCGTTTTGGAGCATTTTGCAGCACCTCGTTTACCTCAATTTTTTTCACGACTAGTTGACTAGGGCCTACAGCGCCGACTAGTGGTAAAGGTAGTCGACTAGTCGATTAGTTGGTGAAACCCCTACCACTAGCACCCTATGGGTAACCCTACAATATGCTAACAATGTTGACATTTTTGGTCAAAAATATCATCCAGCCCTACCTTTTGTGGGTGCTTCCTAGAGTTACACGGCTTCTTTTTGTCTAATGTTTAACTTTTAGCAGTTGCAAAATCTGCACAATCCTTTTGTGAATTCCCAAGTCTTTATAAAGGTTTTATTTGACTTTTTTTGCAGGAGCGGAAGCAGGCAATCTCCAAGCCGCTCTTCAAGCAGCAGACGAAGGAAATGAGCCGACACCTTGAGGCGCTTCTCTTCTTCTATGGTGTTTGTTTGTTCCCCTACAGCTGGTTTAACTGGACTATAACAGGAACTCTACAGCCAGCGGTCAGTAGATTAACCTCTGAATGTCGGGGGGCACACTTATCAACAACGCGTTTGTTTTTTAAGCAGCAACGACCCGAGGCCGGCTTGTACATTTATTTTTAGGAGCTGAATAAGAAACGTACACATTCACACACGCAGACACTGTTAAGTAAAGTGTATCTCTAACAATGTTCCTGTGTACTTGTACTGTTTGTTGCAGTCTACCTGTAGATATGAGCTGTCTGTATTTTGGTTATTATCATGTAACAGATAATACGTTTCCATTTAATGTGAGCAGAAATGTGTTGATTTCTTTGTTGAAAATGGTTAATAAAAGGCAATTGTACATTTTATGTGTGGATTTTTGTCCATTTATATCCAGACATGACACTTTAAGTATATACACTTTGATGATATTTGTATTATTGTTAATACTTCCAATAAAAAATTATAAAAGACCGGCAGATATGTCTACAGTATCACAGACTGACGTTTCTTCTGGGTCTGTGCCATAAAGCCCCATAATGGTCCAAATGTTATACAGTGAAGGAAGAGGCCAACACCTAAATCTATTAAAATGTCACAATGTTAGAGAGATGAAAACATACATGTAAACAATATGTTTTTGTGTATCATGATAGTGAAAGCAACTATTGGATGATGACCTAATAACAAATAATGGATACAACAATAAATATACCAACAAAACAAGATAATATAGAATATTCAATAGTATCATGTGTATTGATCTTCACACTTTTGCTTACTCATAGTAATAGTTAAATGATGTGAAACTGGGTAAAATAAATTAAATAAAAGCGAAACTTGAATACGCAAGCACAATCTGTTGCACTGGGGGGCTTTGTCATGAAAAGTGTGTCAGTGTAAACAATATATGACTTAAATACAATTTTGGTGGAGGGTTAATGCTTATTTTTCTCATTTTAAATGGACTAAAAAAACATTAAAATAGGTTGAAATGTTGTCATTATATGCATGGTGTTATATAATTAGATGAGGCATGTTTTGATTATAGTGCTGCTATTATTCTTGTACAAAGGGGGGTACAGTTTTCTAAAATGGTATTAAACTTAATGGCATCAATTGTGATGAAATGACTAACTTGAGCATTCTTTCTCATGCGGGGGTTGAACAGGCTGTGGGCGGAACAATTACACAATCAATGATTTGGCTATTCTTGCACTTTTAAAATGTGCAATCATTTGTTAGGTTGGTTGCTTCTTTATATTCCTAGTTTCAAACAAATCTCAGATACTACATTTTAGCATTTAGGGCGAACGTTCAAGCAGTGTTGTGAAATTGATTTAACCTTTATTTATACAATCTATATGTCTTGTTCATTTTGGTGGAAATTACCTAGACTTAATTCGAAAATGGTTTTGATCTTGTTTCTTAATATGTTCTTCTCTGTTTAACTTTGGATAGGCTTAATCACCTTAAATGGATATACCCAAGTCAACATATATTAAAAAGATCTAGCAATAGGGTCTTTAGTTGGCAGTGGCACAGATAAATAGAGAAACAGTTGAATATATTATAGGAATAAGGGATACATAAATATATAGCTCTATTTTTTTCTTTAAACATAAAATAGTTTTAAGTTAAGCAAAACTCTTAATAAATATAATGAGAGTGAATTAAAAATACTTCAACGGTTTGTTGAAGTAATTCAAAGGAAAAGGAATTCAGAGATAATATTATCCAAAATAAACCAACAAACATTTGAATGAAACAATCTTAAATCGTCATATTTGTATTGAATTTAACAAAACAAATGGCCGTCTGCACACAGCGGTTGCCCGGTGTAGGTTTTTCCCACATGACGTGAAGGCAGCCTCAGATGATGAGAGTGGGTCATCAGCTGCAGACAGGCAGGTGTGGTCGAGACATTCCTGGGTTCCAGCTACTCCACCGGGACAGAAACAACGTTTGCCGCGGATATGTAAACACGACCCGGCGACAGACCAACAAGTACAAGTAAATGACCAAAGTAAGTGTGATGTCTTTATTAAACAGCAGTCCAAAGTTTCTCCGGGGAGTGAGAAGTTTCCTGACGTCTTGGTGTCGGGAGCAAGTCAGCGCGAGGCCCACAGACCGTCACTCCAGCCTGGATAGAAAAATCTAGAAGTTTTAAAGTTTACTAGCTCTTTAGCAGCGACGAACATCTTTTAAAACACGTATTGCGATTTGTATGAACTGTTATGGCCTTGTTTCTCATCCGGTTTAAGTAGTCAATGTGTACCTTAAAGAAAATGTTACTCAATTCGCTGTTAGAAACCGTAACATTATGTCGCCGAAATTTAGGTGACACATTTAATACTTCAATATCCACCTAATTTAAGTTTGCCGAATTGAAGATCACCCTTTTATGTATTTATTCAAGTAAATTAAAGGCTTAAAGTTGCATATTCCCATTGATTTACATGAAAATAAGAGCTTTTCGTTGGGAGTTTGGCGTGTCGTTAAGTCAGTGTCACACACAGCTGAATTAAACGGTTAACTTGTAACTAAATTAATAAACATTAGTGCCAATTCAGTTGTAGACAACGATTACGTTTCGACCTTTCGGTAAACCAGCTGTGCACTTCTGTTTTCTGGTTGACCTGTGGCCGCTGATTCATTCCTCTGGTGTTTGTTAGACATTTACGCCAGACTGCGTTCAAAATATTGGAAACAAATCTGCATATTCACTTTAAGTGCTCACACCCCGTGCCAAGTGAATTACACCTTATATTCTCAATGTGTAGGTACTATACTTCAATTCGTCCTTTCCAGATATATAATTATGCCTTAACTTGAAGTCAATAATTAAGTCTGTACTTTACACAAACAAATGAGGGATCATACTAAGCCGAATTGAATGATGACTAATGTGAGACTTAGCACCATTTGTAATTGTATAGTTCAAGGTGTTAACCTTTTATGATAGAGATAATCATGAATCGATACGTTTTATAAGCGGCCATTTGTGTTTCCATGCAAAATGTAACGCATTGTGTCTCTATTAACTCCCATTAGCAAAGTCCCATTTACTTATTTCAAATGGCAGCAGCAGCCTTTCCTGTTTTCATGGAAAAGCCTGCCAAACTCCACTTTGAACTTCCCTATTTAGTGCAAGTCATGGAAACGCATTGGCAGCTACACAGAGGGACTGTTTGTGTTGGTGCTACCTAGCTAACCCTGCTAAGTTTTAAGATGGGGGTGGATTCAGCAGGATGAGGAAGTTATCTTTAGTGACTCAGCTGTTGTTTGAGGAGCAGGGAGCGAGCTAAGGAAGGGCACACAGTGCATACAACAATACAACAAGAACTGCTAATCACAGGGGCAGTGGTGGAAGAAGTATCCAGGTACTCAAATAACCCATAAGACTGTGAAAAGACTCCACTGCATGTCAAAGTCTTTCATTCAAAATGTCTTATCTAAGTATAAATATGCATCATCTAAATGTAGAAAAAGGTATTGATTGTGCAGGAGTATGTTTCCTGTCTGTCAATGTTTGGATTCATATTACCGCTGCCTTGTGGTACATTTGACTGCAGTAGATGTTTTTACCAACTTTTAACTGTTGGCTAGTTTAATCTGCAGCAATGCATCATGGTCTATACTGTTTGTAGGGTGGTCACTGTCCTGTGAGAACCACGTAGTTCATAAAAAGTTAGTTTTATGAGTTTTTCAGAAAAGCAGCCCTGTTTTCAGCTGATCCAAGCATCTTTCTAAATAATTCATTTACATTAAGAAGGAGGTGAATTCTCTAAACACATATTCTAACTCTTCTTCTTTCAGTGCATCACAAACATTCAAAATCATCTGGCTATAAAAACAAATACTAAGGAAAAGTTGCGATTTTAGTAGTAGGCCTACTCCGAACACAATCGTATCGTAAGGATTTGCTGTGGCTAGAAAAACTCCTGCATTCAAAGTATTAGCATGCGTTATGGTCCATTTTTTTATCTCGGGAAGTTTATATAGCGCCAGGTAACTTGTGATTTCACCAAGAAATCATTAATGTAATACAATATATTATAAATCATTGTTTTATTTTGTTTCAATCTGAATCTTCAAAGAAACTAAACGTAGCCATTTTGTCAGATTTTCCTCTGAAGTTTAATCAAGTAGTAAATATTCTAGGTAAAGTATGTCAAAATGATACTTAATTGTACACATATTTCAAATGTGTTTTTTCAGCACTGGACCCAGCACGCAGAGGAACTGGACTGAAATGAAAGGAGGGGCTCAAATGAAACTCTGCAGATGTAACCACGACTGAACTGCAGAGAAAAAGAGGAACGTCTCCTATTCTCGCTTCTCCTTTTTTATTAAAAAAGGTGGTGGTGGATTTCAGGGCAATAACACCCGTCCATTTGGCTGTCAGAGCAACAACCACCAGATGCAAAATCCCCCATCATGCATCCTTTGGTTTGAAGGCATAGGCCTCTGCATTAAAGGAGAGGAGACCGTTCACTGACACAACTGTGGATGTCAGAAAATCAGCGAGTTAGTATAGAAACCGTTGGAAATCCCCGGCTGGAGTGTCATCGGGTGGAACTGGAACTAAGGTGCGACCACGCGGCCGCTCTCAGCATGAATCATACATGCAGAAATCTCCAGAAACGGATGTGCTCCCACCGTGAATCCTACCAGACATGATGTGAACTTCTGAACCGAAACTCCCAAAAAGTTGCAGAGAAAATTCAACTGGAATGTCGTCTCATTGGCGCGGGAATGCCTGTGATTTTTGGACAAACTCTTGTGCTGCTCTGAGCTCGTAGCATGAGGAGGGAATAATAAAAGGAAACACCGGGGAGATCAGGAATATCGCCTCGTCTTATGAAACTGATTTGACTTGGGAATACAGTGCGAGGCCTTCCACATGGCGGGGAAGGACTACAATCATCTCTTTAAACTGCTCATCATCGGAGACTCCAGTTAGTGCCTTTTGTTTTTATTCATATGAAATCCTCTGTTGAAGTCAAAGCATGTTGTTTAAGGAGTCCCACAGGAGAGAAACGGCATGCACCTTGCACGTTAGCCGTTCCCAAAGGTTTTTCTCTAATGCTTAGGAAACCAACAACTAAAGGAGATTTGGGAAACGAGTTACAAAAGAAGTAAAGTAGATTTGTATTGACAAAACATGAGCTGTATGTTTCACCTTGGTCATTAGTTTGCACATAAATGAAAGCCTAAAACGCCAGTTATTATACAAAGAAGATAAACACAATTTGACCTTTTGATCAGCTGGAACCAACATTGGATAAACTAGTAACAAAAGAAACTAATCTGATTTGATTGAAACAACGTAATCAAGAACTTGAGCTGTATGTTTCTTAGTTAATGGTAACGACAATTTTACCCGAGTATTTGTTACTCAAGACTGGTGACAATATAGGGGAACTAGTAACAAAAGAAGCAATGCCAATTTGGATTGAGAAAAACACATCCTGCAGGTTTGCTCATCTTTCAAGTGAAAAAGCTGACAAACTATTAAATAAAGCCAATTGAAAATGTGCATGAATCACATTACCTTGCTAGATTCAGGACATTGAGAGATCACGTGATACATATCATAAACTCTGTCCTCCTCACTTTGAAAGGTGTAAGGAAAGGCCCTGCAGTGGTTCAGCCCAGTTTGAAACCCCCTACTCTCCAACCAGTGCAGTAAACGGCCTCAACGATGTGTTGGCTTGAAAGCCCCTAAACTGCCACGCTGCTAAACAACGTTTTCAGAGAGGCACTCGTAGGTTTACAATGATTGTCTGAGCTCAGGCTTAACTGAGCTTGTGTTAAGTATTCAATATTAACCACTATTCATTGATGTAATAATATTTGGACTTTTCAGGCTGCCTGTTTGGGACATTTCTCCAAAGTAACCTTAGCATAAAGGATCAATATTGTAATTCAGATAGTTTAATTGACTCAGTCAATGAAGGACTTGCCGATTTTAGACTTGTTTTACCAAGATATTGCATTACAACACATATCTTGCAGGGATGCTTTAGTTTTCACAACATATTGTGGTAGTTTTGAGGTATACTGTACTGGGTACACAGCTCTGGGGAAAAGAGCACCTTTTAAAAGTGTGTTCAATGATGTGTTTGAGTCAAATAACCTTTATGTTTGTATCCTTTCAACTACTCACAACATGTTTCTGAAGTAGACATCATTTCATTCAAGCATTAAACCTCTGAGATAAATGTCGGGTTATTCCACCAAATAAGGATTTCATTTTGTATTATGTAATATAATTAGCATTTCTTTGCATCAGCTGAGGTCTAAACACTGCATCTTTGTAGTTATCATGTTCTGCAACTTAATAGCATCATAACAACATATCATAATCGAAGTAGTCTATAGAATAAAAAGCATAATCATTTGACTTGAATACATATCAATAATAAACCAGAGAAACTTTGATCAACATTTAGTGAAAGCCTTAGATTGTGTTGATGTTTCTGTATTTCCCAGCATGCAGCTGCTTCATTCTGGTTGGTCAAGTCTCTTCTGAACACGTTAGCACATGTTTTTTCGGGGAAATGTTCTCGGAACAGTTTTCAGGAGAGTCATCTCTGTTTAAACAAGCATGTCTTTGTCTGAGTTTATACTTTGTTCTTATATCTCGCTTGGTTTCACTTTGGTTTTCCTGCCCCTGCTGTGTTTTCATTACTACTATCACTCAGGAAGGAGGAGATTTTTCTGATAGTAAAAACAGACATGACTCGTCTGGTCTGTGCCTGATTGGTCACATTCATTTCCACGCAGTTATTTATGAGCTAATCTTTGATGTGCTTCTCCCTCAGATGTGGGGAAAAGCAGCCTGCTGCTCCGCTTCGCAGACAACTCCTTCTCTGGTGAGTCTCCAACCTCTGCTGCAAGTCCAATGCCGGGACATTCCTCCGAACTAGAGCTTGTATTTATTAGTAGGAATACCCAGAGAGCATCAACATTGAAAGGCTTTATTGCCATATGCACAACAGCTACAGCGTCACTTTTGGCGCCAAGTGCCAGGCTCCTCCAATAATGCAAGTAAAGTGCAGTAATAATAACATCATATACATATAAAATAGGAACAAAATGTTAAATGAAATGCTTTACAGGTGAAAAGATACTGTAAGAATGTATACATTTATATATAAACATTTGTTTTTCCTGATTCTTGATTGTTTAAAAGAGGAACCGAAAATGAGAACCAGACTGGAATGGATGTGTGAGAAGTGGCAATCTGGGCCAAAGGGGACGATTTTGAGATCTTAAATATGTGATAGATTTGATAAGCCTTACAATGTCCACTGGATGACTGAACGTGTCGCTATGTTGCTGCTCTGCTCGGGAGCTTTCTTTCTTTTATTGATCTACATAGGGCTGCACGATTTTGGGACAAAATCTAATTGCTATTTTTCTAACAAATATTGCGATTCGATTTGCGATATTTGTTTTTAAGCGACCCAACAGAAGTTTATTGTAAAATCAAATGCGGCCATATCTCCGGCTAGGAAGGTCGTATCAACGTACTCCCGTCTCTAGCACCCCGCAGCCCGAGCTACGAGTGAAAGAACTAAAGTTACAGGAAACTTCCGTTGGGTTGCTTTAAAGTCAAGCTTCAGTTTAAGATCCACCCTGTAATAGAAACACGTGATGGAGCATTACTAACCTGACTCAGATGGTTTGTTTCACCAAACCATCTAGGAAAGCTCCATTGGAAGCCATTTGGAAAAGTATTTCAAAAATACTTGGCAGGTGATTGGATCAATCTGTCTATCACCTTCTATCATGGGCCACTTCTGATTGGTTAACAATGTCTGGTACATGTGGAGCACAGCACTTCTGATTGGTGTGGATGACTGACACACAAGAAGAAAAGAAAACAAATTGTAACAAATGTTAACAAAAAATCGCATCATTTCAAATCGCGATTTCGATTTAAAATCGATTAATCGTTCAGCCCTACTACCAAACACACCAATCCAAGGGATCAAAGTTCACTTGGAGAAGACTTATTAGTGCTCTGCTAAAACAAAAACCATGTAACATCAATTGAAACAATATAATCTCCAGTTTATATCTAAACTAAAAACAATAAATAGTGTAATAATTGATAAATGTGTGGACTAAACAGTTGTGTATTATAAACAAGTGGCAGTTACATGCCCAAACACGTCATGCTCTACAGTGAGGCAGAGAATTACAAGCATGTTATCAGGTGAGCCATCTTATCTCTGCTGGGCTAGAGCTGTCCTGACCTGTCTGCAGCTCCACAGGGACTAAACCGTGTGTACAACATGAAGACATTGTGGGGGGTCAATGGATAGAAAGACTTCCTCAACGTTTGTCATTACATATTTAACATATACTATTCAAGGCTATGTTCATTTGGTGGATTTCTTGCATTTTCCACTTTGAGGTCTAGAACACAACACGTTATTATGGCTTTTCAGGCTAATTCCAGACAATTTCTTTGGAGGCCGTCATAGGTGTCATTTACACTGGGGATGCAGTGTCCCCACCCCTTTTTGGCATGGCGGCTTTTGTCCCCACTTGTTCAAAGCTTAATGTTTGAAAACCTAGCTTGCTGACTAGCAAATGAAACACTTCCATCAAGGTTTATTTTCACATGACCAAAATCAGGCAAGCAATGATCAGTAACTTTAAACATGTCTTAAATAGTTTCTGATCTTTGTAAGTCATTATTCTGACCCACCAATCACATTCCCAAAAATGGTATATGTAGAAGAAATCTCCTGTCCCCCAATGTCCCCTCCCCTTTTCAACACTGACACCTTTGAACATACCGGTATGTACTTACTGTAGGAAAGGCCTGGGCGTTATGGTGATACAGTATATCATCAAAGAATATAAAAGTGTCTTTTGTGTATATTTTTATATTGATTCTATCGTGATATAGGTTGGCTCATAATTGTATTATATATTTAAGAATATTGTATATTATATTTGAATATTTTTGAAGTCTTTAACTCACACAGGACATACAAAAATAGGCTTTACCATGCTTAGATCTGCAGTGCATTTCTGTTGCTCGTTCCAGTATGATCTGTAACTAATTATAAAAAGGAAAATCCAGTAGAATAAGTGAAGTATAGAAAAACTGCGCTTACAGCTCATAGAAACGGATCAAATGATTAGCCTATAATAGGCCCCCTTTATGTTGCCAGTAGACATTTATTGCAGCTAATAATTTGAATTATGCTGAATATAATATAAAATACTATGTTTTACTTTTTGGTTTTCCAATATCTGTGAGATCTTCTGATTATTCATGTTGCTGGAATAACAAAACCACAAAAAGAAAACCCAGGTTGGAGAAAATAGTTATTCCCTTAAATGCCTGTGTATAGAGGCTTCTCAATACTCTAATTTCCCCTCCTCGACTCCTATCCTCGAGACTTAGGCCCATTCCCAAACCGCCCCCTACCCCTACACACTACCCCTCCGTTTGCGCGTTCGCGCGGAGGGTCCACCACATTAAGTGCTGTTCCAAACCAACGAGTGTGGAGCGGTGTGGAGGGGGAGTGGGCTATCAAGCCCTCAAACAGCGAGTCTGCAGCGGTGCTGACTTGATGACCGGTCTCTACCTGACCGGTCTCAACGCTGTGTGTGTCCGTCAGGAAACACGCTGTTAACAAGTAGTTCCAGCAAACATCCACTGATAAACTGCGATGTTAACAACCTCATGATAACCTCATATGTTTTTAACTTAGGATCATACCTGTGTTTAGTCTAGAAAAAGGTAAATGTGTGCATTTTATTATAAAGTTGTGTATATTTACAGACCGGAGAGAGGGGAGGCCGTCCCAAAGCTTGCTGCTGTATTTACTCCCTCCATCTGACAGGAGGGAGCCTCGTTGAGCTGCGAGTGTGGCTACAGACGGAGTTCACTCCATCACGGAGGGGTAGGGTCGAGGGAGTGGTTTGGGATTGGGCCTCAGGAGATGCGAGCGGAGGACTGAGGAGGGGAACCGAGGAGAGAGGAGGGGAAGCAGCAGGCGGTTAGAGAAATGAGAACTCCTCTCCTCTGAGCGGTCATTTTAAAGAGACATCCATTAATGATGACAGGAGGCACAGCAGCCCTCTGTCTGATGGACAGATGTTTCATGATGACTTATATTTACTTTGATTAATTCACAGTGCGGTATAATGAGACAATAACAGGCTACAGATGCGGACACACACACACATATTTATATAAATATATACAATTTCAGAATCAAACAAGTATGAGAGCACTCTCATAATAACGTAACACAATCAAAGACTGGATATATCCCCCCCCCCCCTCTCTCTGGTCGCTGAAATGGGGAATTGAAATTACGAGCCAAAAGTTGTACAAGTATTAAAACTAAGCATAGGACACCAAACCAACTGAGACCTGTCTGTCCGCCGCATTTACGCACTGTACAACACACACACCTACACACGCACCTACACACTGCACCACACGCACCTACACACTGCACCACACGCACCTACACACTGCACCACACGCACCTACACACTGCACCACACGCACCTACACACTGCACCACACGCACCTACACACTGCACCACACGTACCTACACACTGCACCACACGCACCTACACACTGCACCACACGCACCTACACACTGCACCACACGCACCTACACACTGCACCACACACACACCTACACACTGTACCACACGCACCTACACACTGCACCACACACACACCTACACACTGCACCACACGCACCTACACACTGTACCACACGCACCTACACACTGCACCACACGCACCTACACACTGCACCACACGCACCTACACACTGCACCACACGCACCTACACACTGCACCACACGCACCTACACACTGCACCACACGCACCTACACACTGCACCACACGCACCTACACACTGCACCACACGCACCTACACACTGTACCACACGCACCTACACACTGCACCACACACACACCTACACACTGCACCACACGCACCTACACACTGCACCACACGCACCTACACACTGCACCACACGTACCTACACACTGCACCACACGCACCTACACACTGCACCACACGCACCTACACACTGCACCACACGCACCTACACACTGCACCACACACACACCTACACACTGTACCACACGCACCTACACACTGCACCACACACACACCTACACACTGCACCACACGCACCTACACACTGCACCACACGCACCTACACACTGTACCACACGCACCTACACACTGTACCACACGCACCTACACACTGCACCACACGCACCTACACACTGTACCACACGCACCTACACACTGCACCACACGCACCTACACACTGCACCACACGCACCTACACACTGCACCACACGCACCTACACACTGCACCACACGCACCTACACACTGCACCACACGCACCTACACACTGCACCACACGCACCTACACACTGCACCACACGCACCTACACACTGCACCACACGCACCTACACACTGCACCACACGCACCTACACACTGTACCACACGCACCTACACACTGTACCACACGCACCTACACACTGTACCACACGCACCTACACACTGTACCACACGCACCTACACACTGCACCACACGCACCTACACACTGTACCACACGCACCTACACACTGTACCACACGCACCTACACACTGTACCACACGCACCTACACACTGTACCACACGCACCTACACACTGTACCACACGTACCTACACACTGTACCACACGCACCTACACACTGCACCACACGCACCTACACACTGTACCACACGCACCTACACACTGCACCACACGCACCTACACACTGTACCACACGCACCTACACACTGTACCACACGCACCTACACACTGTACCACAC